AAAAAAAAAAAAACTCTCCAAAAAAAGAAAGAAAGAAAAAAAAACATATTTGGGGACCAGCAGTTAATGTAATGGCTATGTTGTTGGACTCCTGTGTAGCCAACCGCAGTTCGAGTCCCAGACCTGGTGGCTTAAACTCACATTGGGTGCGTGTGCGTGCGTGCGTGCCCAAGATCCCAAGAGGAGAATGGAGGAGAAGGGATTGCTGTATGGCCATCCCCCCTGGGGGATTTCTTGCTTTCCGTCTGTCTCTTTTCTCTCTTTCTGGCGAGTACATGAGCCGTATAGCAAAAACCTCTCTTAAAAAAGAAAAGAAATGTTTGAAGCTATTGGGTCATTAGAAAAGTCATGACACATCTTGCATAGAAAAACACAGAAAAATTCCTCATGTATTTTCTGACAACCCAATATAATGTTTCAGTTTCCATCCACATCTGTCCTTTGGGTTGCTTTATTTTTCTTCATGTCACAGCTGACATGGCGTCGCTGCTGATGCAGTTTGCTGCCCACCGTGAAGCTCTGGAGGAGAGAGGCCTTGCAGGCCCTGCCCCTCTTTCCCAGTGTCTGGAACAGTGAGTGAGCATGGCTGGAACTCCGTCAGCTCAGGGTGGACAGTCACACTGATCCAGTCACCCACTTTAACCGCTGGCTGTCCTGAGGCCGTGGGAGACACCATGCAGCCTCGCTCACATCCTTTCCTGCGTATAATGGAGCCACAGGACGCGGTCAGAAAGCTGCCCTCTGCCGTCCAGCTGGAGGCCCAGCAGGACGGTCGCCATTCGAAGTTGAGGAAGGCCTCTGCTGAGTCATAGGAGTCCTGTTTGAGGAGGGGTCCGACGAGAAACCAGGAATCGGGAAGTTACTGAGGAAAGCCGTCGACTCTGGTGGATGGCAGTGAGGAATGAGCTGCACCACGTGGACCTCACACCTGTAAGCACCCAGGACGTGCTCCCTTTCCCGGACAGTCTGGGGTGCTTGCTGCCTCCTCGTCACCAGCTGCAGAAATAAATTCCTCTTCTCTAGCCTCTGCCTCTCATTCCACTTAGTTTGCTCATAACACGTCTTCCCGGGTTCGATTCCAGCCAGCACTTGCTCGTTCTGCGACTTGAGCAAGCTCCTCAGGCCCCGTGTTCTCTCCCACTGTCCGTGGGGTAATAGCAGGACTGCATCTCCCTGGGATGTGGCCCAGGGGCGTGAGGTAGTGCAGGTAAGGCGCTCGGAAAGGCTCTGCTGAGTGAGGGCTGCTAGTCCTCACAGCAGCCCTGCGAGGCAGGAGCCCAGGAGCCCGTCTGCAGATCGGGAATCAGGCAGCGGGCTGTAGTGCTCACAGAGGAGGGCTGGGAGAGGGGGCGGTGCTCAAGTCACCGCCTCTGTGTCGCACTCTGAAAAAGGTCAACACACCCAACTTGCTTCATTTCCACCGTTCAGACAGCTCCGAAGCCGGTGCCCAGGTCACACACCTGTGTCTATACTCCGTGACTTCTAAACGCTTGGGCCGACTCAGTGTCTTTCCAGTTGTGCAAGGACACGAGCAGGCGTGGCCTCAGAGCCATGTGACGTCAGGCACTTTACCCAGTAGCCAGATGCGTGCGGAGTGCCCTGCGAGTAGAAAAGGCGCCAGGAGCTCGTGTCACTCAGCCCGATGCCACCCAGCAGTGCTCTGGGGAGGCCAGGCTATCCCCGCATTGTCGGGCGACGCTCAGTGACAGGATGTTCGGCGTCCTCCGGCACATGCCCAGGCACACACTGTGTCCCTTCCTGCTGCGAGAGCCCAGTCCGTGCACCTGGGGCCGGACCACACAGCTCCACGGCCCCTGCCGCAAGCCCGGGTGAGCTGCTCCTCGCAAGGCGGGGCTGTTTGCTGCAGCCTCACCTGGGCGCAGTCCTGTCCCACGCAGCAAGCTGAAACCTGCCCGGACTAAGGGCTCATTAGGAGTAGTCATTACCTGGCCCTCGCCTTTGAACCTTGCTGCTGGTGGTATTTATAGTTGAAAACCGGACTGAGCAGCTGCCGTTCCTTTGGGTGGCCTTGTTCGAGTAGGTGAGCCAGCGGCTAACAGAGTGTGCAGGCAGCTTCAGACTCCGAGGGGAAGGCCAGGCTGGCACCCTCTCCAGCCCTCGAGGTCATGCTGGCAGCGGGCGTCGGTGGCAGACTCGGGTCACGCACGGGGGAGAGAGGGTAAAGTCCGTGACGGTTGCCATTTTGCTATGGGCTAGGCTCTGGGCATGACTAATTTAAAACGTCTCGTGAATAGGAATCGTTAGCTCCATTTTGTAGAAAAGGAAACTGAGTCTCAGCGAGGGCAAGCCTTCCGCCCAGGTCACACAGACACCTGATGCCTGATGCCTGATGTCTGCCTCCGCATCCCGCACTCAGCCTTGTCACCGTTCTGCCTGCTAGGGAAACGGGGAAGAAGGCAGTGGTTGAAGAGAACACCAAGGAGGGGAGAGTGGAGGAAGGAAGCGTGGCAGACGTCGGCCTTTGGCGTGCGTGTGGGCGGCCTGATGGTCTGGCCCAGGCCTCTCACAGGAGTGTCTCTGGAACCCCCTTGCCTTCGAGCACCCTGTTCTTGCAGAGGGCTTAGCCCACAGTGGGGTCTGTGGTGCTTTGTTCTTATTGCCCTGTAGTCATCAGTACAAGTCTACCAAGGCTTACTCACCCATTCATTCTCTTTGTTTTCTTTTTTAAAAAAATAATTCAATTTTAGTTACATATTCATTTATTTTTGATTTGGCCAGAGAGAGACAGAAAGAGAGAGGGAAGATGAGAAAGCAAGCTGCCAAATCTGGGACTTGAACCGTGGTGGGCCATGTGGGATCCAGCACCTCAGCTACTACACCACCTGCTGACTGTCAAGTTTACCTGTGAACGGGAGTCATTATTCCACCACAATCCTACCTGCCCTTCTTTCTTTCATTTCACCTGCCTGGACCCTGTAGGCTTTTGAGATTTCAGCCTGTGACTTAAATAATTTGAGATTTGATTGTAGAAACGAGAAGGCCACCTGTGATAATAGAGTTCGGGTCCTAAGTGATCATCCTTCCTGCTGTGGCCTGAGTGTTGACTTGTCCCCCTTTCCCGCCCTAGAGTCACACGTTCAAACTCAATCCCCATGTGATGGTATTAAGAGGTGAGGCCTTTGGGAGGTGATGAAGTCATGAGGGCTCTGCCCTCATGAGTGGGATAAGTGCCCTTGTAAATGAGATGGGAGGGAGCACTCGCCCCTCCCACCATCTGAAGGGACCAGGTCCTCGCCAGACTCCGAGTCTGCTGGTGCCTAGATCTTGGACTCTCAGCCTTCAGAACCATGAGCAGCACATTTCTGGTGTTTACAGATTACTCAGTCTGAGGTATGTGGTTATAGTAGCTCAAGCACACTAAGACAGTTCCCACTAAAATCAGAACAAAATATCTTTTTTTTTTTTTTTGTAGAGATTTTTGCTATAGGGCATTTACACTCACTGGAGAGACAGAAAGCAAGAACTCATCCCCAGGGGAGATGGCCATGCCACAGTCCCGTCTCCATTCTCCTCCCAGGATTTTGGACATGCACACACACACCCGGCACGAGTTTCAAATCGTCAGGTCCCAGATTTAGACCGTGGCTGGCCATGTGGGAGTTCAGTGATGTAACCATTATAGCATCTGCTGGTCCCAAATTAGAACAAAAATAAACCAACCCCATGCATATTTATGTATTTTTATAAAATAAATGAGGGGACTTTTAATTGCTTAAAGCAACACACGTGTATTATCTCAAGGTTTCTGTGGTGAGGAACCCGGGGTGGGGGCTTGGCTGGGTCCCCTGCTTCTGGGTCTCAAGCTGCCATCAAGCTGTTGGCTGGGCTGAGGTCGCATCTGAAAGCACAGCTGGGTACAGGTGAGCTCCCCAGCTCTCCGAGGCTGTGGGCAGGATTCAGCGCAATGTGGCTGTGGGTGGAGAGCCTCCTTCCTGTCACGTGGGCAGGATTCAGTGCAACGTGGCTGTGGGTGGAGAGCCTCCTTCCTGTCACGTGGCCTCTCCAAGGTGGCTGATGCTTCATCCCAGTGTGGGACTCCAGAAGGCATGGCGTCCACAGGGCATATCTCCTAGCAAGATAGTATGCAGTTCTTTTTTTTAAAAAAAATATTTTATTTAAATTTATTTATTCATTCATTTCAGTTTGACCAGAGAGGGATAGAGAGAGCAAGCTGTCAGGTCGGGGACTCAAACCATAGTCAGCCATGTGGGAGTCTAGCACCCTTAACCACCAAGCCACCTGCCAGCCCCAAGTGTGCAGTTCTTGTAGCCCAGTCAGGGAGTGATGTCTCTACACCTTTGCCCCATTTTATTGGTCAAAAACCAGGCAGCTCACAATTGGGGGAGGGCTCACATGAGCACAACTGCCAGGAGGCAGGGACTGTGTGACCTCCAGAGGGGCACCTGTCCATACCTAGCACTGAGTTTAGGGTAGGCAAAAGGATGAATTTCTCGGCCAAAAATTCCTAATCTTGGAAAATGAGTGATAGAGGATCCTTCAAAGAAGTTTTAAGAACAGACAAGATTGGGTCATTGGACTCATATCACTGACTGTGGTTCAAGTCCCGGACCTGGCCGCTTGCTTTCTTGCTTTCCCGTTCTTTCTCGGGTGAATGCATGTGCCCTATAGCAAATTGAATAATAAAAATAATAAATAATTATTTTAAAAGAGAGCGAGAGGTTTGCATGTGTCCCATTGCTTCTTGAAGCTTTCAGGGGGTCCTCAACCATGACACCCCAAATGAACAGCTCCAGGCTGACACAGCTTTGGGCTGACATGGCATGGCAGTGCACCACTGTGATCTTCCCCTCCCTCCCATACTATGAAATGCCAAGAATTACCCCCCCTCCATCGGCAGAACAATTGATTTTGTTTGCATGAAATTTTGCATTTGGCTCTATCTTGCTGGATGGATTTTCTTCATTTCACTTCCTGTGCTCTTTCGAGTCACAAGATGAAGCTCCGAGGCGGTGGGCAGGATTCAGCGCAATGTGGCTGTGGGTGGAGAGCCTCCTTCCTGTCACGTGGGCAGGATTCAGTGCAACGTGGCTGTGGGTGGAGAGCCTCCTTCCTGTCACGTGGCCTCTCCAAGGTGGCTGATGCTTCATCCCAGTGTGGGACTCCAGAAGGCATGGCGTCCACAGGGCATATCTCCTAGCAAGATAGTATGCAGTTCTTTTTTTTAAAAAAAATATTTTATTTAAATTTATTTATTCATTCATTTCAGTTTGACCAGAGAGGGATAGAGAGAGCAAGCTGTCAGGTCTGGGACTCAAACCATAGTCAGCCATGTGGGAGTCTAGCACCCTTAACCACCAAGCCACCTGCCAGCCCCAAGTGTGCAGTTCTTGTAGCCCAGTCAGGGAGTGATGTCTCTACACCTTTGCCCCATTTTATTGGTCAAAAACCAGGCAGCTCACAATTGGGGGAGGGCTCACATGAGCACAACTGCCAGGAGGCAGGGACTGTGTGACCTCCAGAGGGGCACCTGTCCATACCTAGCACTGAGTTTAGGGTAGGCAAAAGGATGAATTTCTCGGCCAAAAATTCCTAATCTTGGAAAATGAGTGATAGAGGATCCTTCAAAGAAGTTTTAAGAACAGACAAGATTGGGTCATTGGACTCATATCACTGACTGTGGTTCAAGTCCCGGACCTGGCCGCTTGCTTTCTTGCTTTCCCGTTCTTTCTCGGGTGAATGCATGTGCCCTATAGCAAATTGAATAATAAAAATAATAAATAATTATTTTAAAAGAGAGCGAGAGGTTTGCATGTGTCCCATTGCTTCTTGAAGCTTTCAGGGGGTCCTCAACCATGACACCCCAAATGAACAGCTCCAGGCTGACACAGCTTTGGGCTGACATGGCATGGCAGTGCACCACTGTGATCTTCCCCTCCCTCCCATACTATGAAATGCCAAGAATTACCCCCCCTCCATCGGCAGAACAATTGATTTTGTTTGCATGAAATTTTGCATTTGGCTCTATCTTGCTGGATGGATTTTCTTCATTTCACTTCCTGTGCTCTTTCGAGTCACAAGATGAAAAGCAGATTTTATGATCAGTTAGCTCCTAAGAGATAGACATCAGCGTGACTAATTACACCGACACGCCTACGTCCAACTTTTTTCTTTTGATCGTGAAAATCCTCAGAGACAAAAAACCTGGAAAAATGGTTCTATAATTAATGTGTCACTCACCTTGTTTTATTTCATAATTGCCCATCACCCAGTCCTCTCCACTCATCATTCCATCTTTTTTTTGAATTATTTCAAAATAATTATAATAATTAGTATACAATCATTATAGATATTAGTGTAAGGAAGCCTAATTAAAAAAAAATTTTTTTTTTAAATTTGCTGTAGGACACATACACTCACCAGAAAAAGAGAGAGAGAGACGGAGAAAACAACCAGGACTGGGATTCAAACCATGATTGGCCATTTGGGAGTCCAGTGCCTTAACCACCATGCCATCTGCTGGCCTCAAGGAAGTCTAATTTTTAAAGTTAGTGTGCAAAGTTTTAACTAAATTCTGAAATTCAGTACATTGGTTTCTACAGGATTAGGGTGGAGGATCTTATTTGCTCATTTACACTTTTGAAAAACGTGTTGTCACTGTCTCTAAGACAAGTCTGTCTTTCCCAGCTCATCACATGGGTACATCTATGAGATTTGTGACCTAGGTATTTTAGAGCAACTCTTCAGAATTAAAACTAAATGCCAACAGTTATCACTCACGTTCACTCAACTGTTCTCGCATTCATTCAAAAGCGTCGAGGGCCTGCGAGGTACAGGGCACCGTGGGAAGCACCAGCAGCGTCTTCGGACCCAGAACGGTTGAACATGCACCTTGTGGAGAAGGTGCGCGACAAATACTTGTTGGACAACAAAATGTGTCTCCGAGAGCTTCCCAACAATGACATTCTTACTTGCTTACTGGTTGGCTTTTGTTTTCTTTTGTAATCGTTTCAACATGTAATGAGCTGAAATGCCAGCTTCTGCAATTTGTGAAGATTGCGATTTGAACCCGAGAATGTGTAAAGTTGTAAACCACCATTCACAATTTGCGCCATTTGGGATACATTCTTTAAGTCTCTGAGCTTTAGGCTCATGACAGTATAAAGGGGGATGACAAGGTAGCCCAGGGCCTTGATCAGGAGAGGAGGCAAAGTGGCTGGAGCACGCAGTGCCTGCACGCTCCCTTCCACGGTCACGCAGGCTCAAACATGCTTATGACCTGGACTGGCCATCTCCGTACCACCCCGCGCACTCTGAATGACTGGAAATGACCGTGCGAGCGAGGAGGGAAGGAAAGAGGGGTTATGGCCTCCTGCGCCTTCTGTCTGTCCGCCTTTCCTTTCCCACAATTAAGTGAACCACGCCAAGGTGGAAAAACTCTCCTGTTACCTCCACGTCCAAAGTCTCCGTAGTCCGAGCAGCCAGTCGGCGTCTCTGGGGCCCAGGTGGACGGCCCCTTGCATAGCCGCGACCCTCTCCTTAGGCCATGCTGGGTGTCCTGAGATTCCTTTTGCAAAGTATGTGGCAGTCCTTTCCAGGTCACTGCAGTGGAATTTGACCTCTGGAGCCAGGCTCCTCCCTCCGGAGTCCCCTACTCTGAGGGTTATCCCCCTCCTTCCTGGGAGTGCGAGGAGGGCTGCTCTCATTTCAGTGTACCACTCTAGTATGATTATGTTTAGACTGCAAGTTATATATTCTTCTTATTAAAACATCGAAACATGAATGTAGACAGTAAATCTTTCTCCAGAAATGAGCAGTTTATGAAAATCTCTTTAGAATTTTTTGTCTAGCTTCACAATATTTTCTAGACAAAAATAGAATGACACTCTGTAGGCTGTCCAGTCTTTTTTTTAAACTTTAGGCACATCTTGGACATCGTCCTGAAGCGAGGCACTCTGTTTCAGCAGTTGCAAGGACCCCACTGTGCAGATGACCTACACGTCCTCGCTCCTGTGGGAAGACGGTCGGGGGTCGCCAGTTCTTTGCTATTACCGAAACTTCCCACCAACTGCCGTGCTCATGTAAGACGTGAGAAATCAAACAACTTAAAATTAGAGCTGGGAAAGTAGACTCGATGGTGCAACCATGTCCGACATTAACCAAGCGCTCACAGGCCCCGGCATTATTTAAAGTGCTTTCCGTTTACTCGCTTCTGTGATTCCTGCAGCGACCGACTAGCAGGTTCTGTTCTCCTGTTTGCTAGTGGAAACAGGCACAGAGGGGAAGTCGTCGAGCTGACACAGCTGCTAAAAACTGTGTCGTGGGCCAGCAGGTGGCATCGAGGTTAGGGCGCTGGATCCCTCATGGCTAATTCTGCAGCTCAAGTCCTAGACCAGGTGACTTGAAAAACACACCAATTGCAAGTGTCCAAAATCTTGAGGGGAGAATGGAGGAAAAGGGGTTGTGGCGTGGCCATCCTCCCTTGGGCTTGGTTTGTCGCTATCCCTCCCTCTCTCTGTCTCTCTCCAGTGAGCGCACACACCTTATAGCAAACTAAAATAAAGCAAGCATGTTCTAACTTTTGGACTGGATCCCAGGCTGACGTTCAGAGAGATGGTACCGAAGCTGCTCCTGCCTGCCCCCCAGTAACAGCAGGCATTGAGGCCTGGCTCCCACTGACTGGTCACTCACTAGTGCTTTGTAATCTTCAGTACCACCCCACCGAGTAGGAGCCACGGTTACTCCGCTCTGCCATTGGGGAAACAAGACGGGGAGGTTAAATGCTCGGGACAGTCACCCCGCGGGCATGGGATTTGGAATTATGCTATCTGTTCAAGAGAATTTACCTAAAAGTGGTTTTTAAGAAGTCCACAGCCACCCAAGTGCTTCCTGGACCACTCAGGTGACCCTCTGCCTGTCCTTCCCTGCGTATGTGGCTGGTGGATTTGGGTCACCATAGTCAGCAGTGACAGTGGCCACAGAGTCCGTGGGAGCACTGAGATAGCTCAGGCACAGGCTTCAGATCCTGGAAGGGCCAGACTCTTCCCAGGGGGAGGCCTTGATACTCTTCAGACCGAAGGGAAGAGGGGAAGTCAGAGAACCCTGCAAAGGGGAGAAGGCAAGGTAGAAGGGGCCTTCACGCTGAGAGGGGTTTCCAACACCTGGGGCTGCCGTCTGTGATCCATCACTCTCCCTCCTCTGCACCCTGGGCTGGGCCCATCAGATTCCACCCTCTCCAAGAGGCGCCTGTCACTCACACCTTAGTGTGGATTATTTTCCGCTAATTCTATCAGCACCTTACCCTCTCTGAGTGCCTTTTGCAGCCAGGCTGAGCCAGGGGCTGGGCGGAAGCAGAGATGGCCCCTTTCCCTGAAGGCCTCGCAGGAAGGAAGCTGACTTCTCAGGGAGGAGGGTGCAGGGTTGAGCCTGTCCTGATGAAGTGGAGGCCACGCTCAGCCTTTTCCTGGCCACTGAAGAAGAGGTTGGGGGCACCGAGAAAGGGGCTGGGCCCAGGGCCTGCAGGAGAGGAAGGTCGGCGGACTGCTCCCTCAGCCTGCGAAGCCCTTGGGTACTGCCTCCACGTAGGGGCATGGTGCCCTGCTAGGACATGACAGCACTGACCGTCAGTCGCTCCTGGGCCTTGGCTTCCTTGTGCCTGGACAGACCCTTGGCCTCACCTTCACCCGTTCCCTGCCTCCTTCCTCTCCACTCTTAGTGAAGTCAGCATGCTCAGTGGGTGGGGGACCTAGGGACCCCTGCCTCTCACATGTCAGCCTGGGCCTGGCAGATCCTCCAGATCTCCCCAGCGTCCCAGTTAACCCCACCCGCCGGCTGCATCAAGCCGGCCACGTGCTTTCTGCTCTGAACCTTCCCGCCGGCTGTTTCCTCTGCTCCGGGTAGGCGCCCTTCCCGGGAAACTCTCCCACCCCTCGGATCTGGGGCGGTACTGCCCCAGACCCGCCTGCTCCTGTGGGTGCCACATAGCTGCTGGCCTTGGGTGTGCAGCGTGAGTCTCTGAGAGGCGCCCGATGTTAACCTGGGGAACCCGAGGAAGGAATCTGCTTTTGCAGAGCTTCCCAGGTCATCTCCCTAATGAAGCGCTCACTGCAGAGGCTCCC